TCTATCTCTTGATTACAAAAACTGCTTGCCTTAAAAGCATTATCTTATCAATCAATTATTAGTTTTTAATTTATTTATTTTTTCCTTTTTTGGTAAAACTGTTTTTGGATACAACCAAAAAACTCAGTAGATTTTTTGGTGAATGTCTAGAAAATACCATTTTGTTTTCTATATTATCAATCTTTCTGTATTATGCCTACTGTCATATTTGGATACTTTTTCTAAGTGCATCACAAGCTATTAATAGTAAATATGATTTTTATAACTAATTTTTATACCAGGCAAATGCAGTGTTAATAACCAGCCACTAATTTTAAGCAGTGAATTTAAATATATATATATATATATATATATATATATATATATATATATATATATATATATATATATATATATATATATATATATCTGTCTGTGTCTAACTTGACATGTATTTTGATGAAGACAACCTTTGATAATTCAATACCTTAAGACTGCACAGCCTCTTTTGTTACTATGAGAGAGTGAGAGAAGAGAGAGAGCAAGAGAGAGGAAATATGTTAGTCCAAAGTGAGAAGAAGAGAGAGAGAGAGAGAACAAAGTGAGAGAATATGTGAGCCTGAGAAGACAGAGGAAGAGTAAGAGAGAAATAGATTGAGAGAGAGCACAAGAGAGAGAGAAAAATATGCAAATCTGAAGAGGAAAAAGGAAAAAAAGAGAGCAAAAGAGAGAGAATATGTGGCCAAGGAGGAAAGAGAAAGAGAAAGAATATGTGAGTCTGAGGATGGAGTGAGGAAGAGAGAGTGAGAGCAAAAGAGAGAGAATATCTGAGTGAGGACGAGAGAGGAAAAGAGAGAGAGACAGAGAGTCTGAGGAGAGAAGAGAGAGTGCATATGTGAGTCAGAGGAAGAGAGAGAGAGAGACCAAAAGAGGAAGACTATGTGAGTCTGGAGAAGAGAGAATGAAAAAGAAAACCAGAGAGAGTGAATATGTGAATCTGATTAGGAGAGAGGAATGTTTGCAGTATCAGTGCAAAGGCAGTAAACATTCCTTGAATATTTCACATGCTTAGCATTCCTCAAGCAAAAAAATCTAAATAATAAAAGAAAATCAATCAGAGGCATTTATTTATCTCCCTCCCACCCTACTCCAAGTTAGCTGAAAGCTTTCAAGGTAAGTAATGAATTATTTATCTCCTATTGTACCGAACAGAATCATAATGACAAAGTAAGTATATATTACCTGAAAGAGAAAATTACTTATCAGCATTATCTATCTCTTCAAAAGATTCTTGGCTTTCTTACTTGACTTCTTTCCTCATACAGCCACCGCCACTGCTGCTGCTTCAAGAATCAATTTCGATAGACACAATAGCTTAATGGTTACAGAAAAGAAAGAGAAGTTGCAAGTTTAAATTTACTTGGTCTATGTGTCACTGGCCGCTCATTTCAAGAGTCTGCCTGGTTTTATTATACAGCTACTTCACCAAATATAAAGCTCAAGAAGCACTCAATGTAGAGGGTTACTGAGCAAGGTTTTTGTAAGGGAGAGGGAAGGAGGGATTAAGACATGCACATTATAAGAATATGTAGGATAAATATCGTCTGACTCTGGGCTTGAAACCAAGACTGTAGTTGTCAGGGAAGCATCCTCTTGGGAGCCAGTTCCCCAAAGCAAGCAGTTCTGGAGAAGAAGCTGAGTGGAACTTATTCCTTATCAAAGAAACACAAAAGGAATGGGAATGATATCAACACTTTTGAACGAGACCAGTATACTCAAACCTTTCTTCACAATGACTTGTGGCTTGAGGCTAGCACAACAATTGATGGCTTCCAAACAGTTTTGTCTACCCAATTTCACTCACAAGGTTTGGGTCAACCTGTGGTATAGTTTTTTTCAAACATTTTCCATGCTGTGATCATTTCCTCAACCATCAAGATGTTATTTTCTTGACAAGTTCAATGGTGACATTCAAACCCATGCCTCATATTTGGAATGCTAATGTTCTAACCACTTGACGACACCCTGAAAAGTCTTGATCTATTTTATCAACTATAACTTCTTTTAGTTTTATATATCATTGCTCATATGTCATGCCCTTGTACCAGACCAGGTAGATCTTAGTCAAATGCATTTCAGAAATGTTTTTTTTTAAGTCTAATTAGTGTTATCCTCCATTTTTATTTTCATATCAGCTGCCATTGACTGGTCATGGAAATTTGCTTTCTTTGTAATATTTGTTGGGCAAAAATTGTTTTCTATATAAAGTGACATTAACAACAAATTGATGGTCCCTGGAGATCATCAATTATTTTAGTAATTTAGTTATTTCTGTGCAAAATGAAAGTTATCCAAGAGGAAAGATTTTGATGGTAGGAAGCATGGGGAGGGAATTGCAAATATACATCCAAAATTTATATCCTCTGCACATTCACACTAATATATGATACCCTCACTCCACAATCATAAAACAAAAATAATCCTCTCTGCACCAAAATTAATGAAGATTGTGTTTTTTTTTTAATCATTTCATCCTAAACAATGACACAAGGGAATTACAGAGTTTGAAAGAAACTGAGAAAATTTTATTGATGAGAAAGGAGAATATGAAAGACGGGATTCAAGAAAACAGAAAATGATGATTGATATTGCATTTTTTGAAGATTGTAGTTGAGAGGAAAAGCAAACTGAAAGAGAGTTTCACAGGCAAGAAGTATGAGAGGAGAAAATATTAGATTAGAATTTACTTTAGAATTTATTTAGCAATTTCAATAGTAAAATGATGAGACCTAACTGCCAATCTAGTACTATGCTTAAATTCATGAAGTTGATATCCCAAAGAGGAAAGGCTCATAAGAACAATTACCATAAAAATATTTATGGAATATGCATAGCTACATTATGAAGCTACATTACAACAAAAGTGGAAAAGTGAGTGAAACCAAGATGCCAGGTCAAGACTGATAATATTGCAGATTCTTCTGTTGATTTTGTCAAGAATCTCTAAATCAGCAATTTTCAAGTTAGATTTTGTTTTTTTAACATTGTTTTAAATTATATCTGTCAAGATGAGTTTTGGTCAGTGGTCAAGATAGTTGTGCATTTTTTAACATTATTAACTATTCTGTAATTAATACAGAAATATTTATAAAATCATTTTTATCTATTTCAATAAGGATTCAAATTCTCAAGGATTCTGTGAGTAATTTCAGTTATTAAGATATATATCTATTTCAAGGGATTTGGCCTTGCCTGTTCCAAAGAATAGCATTCAAAATCCTTTTAGGTGTACTGACTAAGCTTAAATTAGCCTAACCTCAAGATACAACTGTAGGACAACAATCAACAAGAACTGAAGTCCTGATAAAGTTAATTAGTTGTTTCTCACTATATTCTAAACTTTGCCAAATATAACACAAAGTTGGGAGAAAGGAATGTGGACATCTTCTAAGTGGGGAGGACCTGTGCCTTGAAAAATCATCTTTTAAAAGTTCTGGCTTTTATATGGGCTTAAATACAGGAGAATGAAGATTATGCAGCCCTCCATACTTGAAAGATTGAAAAAAAAAACTTATAGAAAGATGGTGCAGTGTTCCACAAAGTCTCCAAGAAATCCTTTTCAGGTATGAATTCAGAGTTTCCCTTCTCCTAGATTAGCTGCCAACCATGGCTACAGAGTCCAGTCATGCCTACTATTTAACCCATAGCTGGAGAAAGATGAATTTTACAAGGGCATTAGCATGAAGTATATTGTTGCATTGCAACTAAGTCCAGATACTAGGTTCATTGACAAGGTGCAGTTTCTTGCAGTCAAATGATTGTGGTTTAAAATTTACCCTTTTGCCAGAGCGTTACCCACAAGTTAAAAACAAAACAATTTCCAGCAGTAAATCAGATTTTATTCATAGGTAGTGCTTTGATACTATAAGTGAGTGAATGCAGGTTAAGGCATAAATGATGGCGGAGATGTGCACTTCAACTGTTATCTGTGTTTCTGCATTGGCTGCATCGTTCATTCTGTCCTCCTCTGCACAAAATCATCATCTTATAGACAACAATTTTCTTCATTCTGTCCTCTTTATTCAAAATAACAATTAATCTTCTTTCCGCCACTTTCTCTTCATCTTGCTCTTGTACTTTGAAGTTGAATCCAATTACAGACAGCCATCACTCTAAAGTAAATGCTTTGTATCAAGTTGTCCTAAATTTAACTCATACATCCACCTCCATCTTAAAGAAAAAAATTGTTAAATATTTTGTTTCATTCTACTCTTGGCCCTTGCTCATTACAGCAATATTTAGGGTTTACAACACACATAAAATAATCAACAAATAAAATTTCAACAATAATAAAAAAAAGAAGGAATATCAGTTCAAATGGTTGTCCCTTGAGAAGGAAACAAAATTTAAGATAACCTTGTGTCCATTTGGTGATATGATATGGATTTTGTTTTGTTAACAGAAAATCAGGGAAAGATATTGTTTCACATGGTGTAGAGCAATTCCAATCTGTGTTGTTATCCATAACTTCCGGTTTTTTGGTTTTTTTTTTTTTAGCTAACACCAATACTGTGGGTCAGTTTCCCACTGTCCGTTCAATTTCATTCAAGTCCCTCTTGCCTTTCTTCATGTACCCATCAGATTATTAAACTAAGCCCATTATTTCAGGAAATCACTATTCTCATCAGACAAACTTTGTCTGTATCTGTCTATATATTTCTGAGAGGACACATGGCACAGTGGGTAAAGGCGTTAGTTAGATCCAGTGACAGGACCCAAAGAGTGCGAGTTCAATACCTGGTTAAGGCGACCGAGAACTTGGAGAGGGGAATTAACAGGAGATAACTGACATCCATTAAACATGGCATGTGGAACTAGAACAGTCTAGCCCAGTGAGAGAAATAAAGGGTTCAGTTTGACATTCCAACCACCTGAAGAAGGCCAGAGTGTACAATGGCCAAAACATAATAAATATGGTGACAAAGATGAGGACAATAGTCCAAATAATGTGAATAATGTAGACTTTGTCTGATTTTCTTTTTCACACTTCTCTTTCTTTCTTAAACATAAAACAAACTTTCTCTCTAGATCTCCTCGACTATCACTTCTCTCTCTTCCTTATCATTTGTCTCTCTCTTTTCTCTCTCTTCCTTATCATTTGTCTCTCTCTTTTCTCTCTCTTCCTTATCATTTGTCTTTTTCTTTCTCTCTCTTCTTGTCATCTTTTCTCTCTTCCTTGTCATTTGTCTCTCTCTTTTCTCTCTCTTCCTTATCATTTGTCTCGACTCTCTTTTTCTCTCTCTTCTTTCTTGTCACTTGTCTCTCTCTTTCTCTCTTCTCTCTTCTTCCTTGTCATTTGTCTCTCTCTTTTCTCTCTCTTCCTTGTCATTTGTCTCTCTCTTTTCACTCTCTTCCTTATCATTTGTCTCTTTTCTCTCTCTTTCTTGTCACTTGTCTCTCTCTTTCTCTCTCTTCCTTGTCTCGATCTTTTCTCTCTCTTCCTTGTCATTTGTCTCTCTCTTTTCTCTCTCTTCTTTATCACTTGTCTCTCTCTTTTCTCTCTTCCTTATAACTTGTCGGTTTTAGAGATGCATGGTCAAGAAATTTATTAAAGCAGACTTAGCTACATTAATATTCTCACAGATAAATAAAAAATACAGAAATATGTGTATTTATTTTTTTAATCTAACACTCTCTGTATCCTTGCTCTCTCAAACATAGGCACAGTGAATTCTTTTTCAGGGTTTTCCTGTATCCTCCGAAACCTATCTGTTATATCAGGTGTCGGATCTACTATCATACCCTCCTCTGAGTCAGTGTCACTCAGAGGTGCTGCTAAGGTAACCTTTTGCATCAGTCTATTTCTCCCTTCTGGAAAGTTCCATTCAGCAACCTTTGCACTGCGAAGATTGACATCGCGTGCCTTTGTAGTTGCACCCGTAAGCTGATCTTTAATTCTATATGAGACCGGTCCTGTTCTTTCTATAACCATATAATATGGTTTCCATCTTTTATATAATTTATGCCTTCTCCAGTGGTTTTTAAACTATACTGGTTCATATATATATATATATATATATATATATATATATATTTATTTTAGGAAAGCACTATAATAAAGTGGGAAAAATTTTTTTTTGTGGCATGTTTCATCCTTTAGGACTTCATTGGACTAAGTTTAAAGGACAAAACACATCACAAAAAAAATTAATTTTTTCCATATATATATACCAGGTGTAACAGAAAAATTGTCTAATTCATGTAACAGCATACTTATCTAACCCACAAAGTGTTTTATATCTAAAACCCACTAAACTAATTCTATTTTCACATAAGACGTTTAGCCATCTTGATACCAATTGTCATAAGAATCACTGAAAGATCCTTTGAGTAATTCAGCTAGAAAGAGAACAGGTTAAAATCATTTTGTGTCAGTTACACCAATTTCTCAAATGAACAATGGTGAGAGGAAAAATATCATTCAGGCCTGCAGTAATGGTACCAACATTCGTACTCTGGCTTTCATCTTTAAAGTTCGTTCACAAACTATCAAGAGAACAGTGGATAAGCTTACAAAAGAGGGAACGGTAGATAGTAAAACTGGATCAGGAAATCAAAACAGGAAGAGGGATCATCATTTTAACTTAGAGCTAAAGAGACCAATTAGAACGCAATCTATAAGATGTTTGACACATGAGGGAGAAGTTTCACCTATGACAGTCCAAAGTGCAGAAAGACTTGAAAATGAAATCATACGTGAAACGTGTGAGGCACCTTGTTACTCCAGGACAGAAAGTTAGAAGAGTAGAGAGGGAGTATATCATCTTGAATAAGCTGGAAACTGATCCTGGAATAACATACATATATATTTGAACTTTATTTCAATAATTCATGAGCTTCTGATGCTTAGCTAAAATTAATTAATGATGAACAATTTTGTTTATGGTTGATTTCATCATAATTCTTCTGTTAAACTTGGAGAGTAATTATACATTCTTATTGCTTAAAGTAGAGTCCAATAGTGTTATAAAAACCTCAGAGAATTCCAGTAAGATATCTTTAATCATTTCTAAGATACAATGGTTCAAAGCTTAATTTAACAAATGAACAATTTTGCTGTTACACGATTTGGAAATTTTGCTGTTACATCATCCAGTGTGTGTATATATATATATATATATATATATATATATATATATATATATATATATATATATATATATGAATGAATGAATGAATGCTTTCGCTATTTGATATTTCTTTCTGGGCATTCATATATTTGTGGGGAAGTGTGATTTCATGTACACAACTGGAAGCTCTTAACTTCAGTTTAAAATTTGCCACCAGATTGTAGAAAAATGATACTACAGATTTCATTATTAAAAACTACCAATGCAATGACACAGATTTCAACAAAGGATACATACAGGGCCTACTTACAGCCATACTCAAACAAAACAAATGAAACCTCACTTCTCCACAGATATATGAGCCCTGAAAAATATATATATATATATATATATATATATATATATATATATATATATATATATATATTATATGCTAACTGGAAAAACATTTAAATATAATAGATGTCATCATAAAAAAACAACTGTTAATGTCATCAATGGCGAATACAGGCATAAGATAGTGGCTGTTTTCAAGAATTAAAAGTATGACTATATCTTGACAACTTACACACCATTTACAATAGCACAACCAAAATCCTTGAGAATGGCTGATAACAAAAGCATTTAGTATGTGTAGAAATTGCTTATTCTAACTTCACAAAAGAGATATCTTGTTTATACACAAGAAAAACACACTAGAAAAATAACAGAAGTACCTTGTCAATTATTTTTAATTGTATTAGAGAGGGATTACTACCCAAATATATAACTATATATCTAAAAAAAATTTTCACAATTTTTATGTCTTCAAACAAAATTTTAAATTATCAAAATTAACTACAAAATTAGTTTTGCTCCTAATAAAATCTTTATTATCTGACCTTTATCAACGTTGTGCCTGGTTCACTAAAATGAATCTTAACCTAACATACCTCATGCATTTTAGTCTTTACTGTGATAATGTTATTTGGTACAGTTCTTTTTTTGTGATTTTGTAGTGCCACTTCTTTGGTTCAAAGAAAGAAGGACCTTGTTGAGACTTACAGGCATTATTCACTCAAAGACATTTTAACACTTAATCTGAGAAAGTGGTTCTATAACAAGTGACAGTTTAGTTATCTCTGAACAAGTTTGATGCCATGCATGGTATCCATATGAAAGGCTTCATCTGATGAGGCTATTTAAGTATATGAGTTTTATAGGAGTTTGTAGATTAATGTTTTGGGTTTGTAACAATTTGCAGTGCTGAGCAAATCTCCCTCTGGCACAGCATATTCTCTGTTCAATTTCCTCATCTCCTATATTAAATTTGTTATAACTGATGAATACAGAGGTATTTAAAGTATTGTTTAGTATTTATTAATTCAACATCCTGAATTTTTATGATGGATTCAGGGTACAGATGCCATCAGTATGATGAAGAAAAGACAAGTCAAAAATTAATTATCCTGAGTTTTGTATTGTATATTGATTCCCTAAATTTCATTGACATTGGATTGGATTGCCCTTTTTAATGGTTTATCAACCCTTTCTTGGATATTTAAAACTGAATCATATTTTGGATTGTAAGAATAACTATTTTTGCAAGTGAATATTGCATTAAAAATTCCTTTGAGAATATTGAAGGGATTTTCTTCTTGGTTGGGTATCTGACAACAAAGAGGGATGGTAAACTCAGCAGCACTGGAATAAAACACTGAGTTATGACAAGCAGAGCACAGACAAGACATCTGCATGGGAACAACACATGTACAGGAAAAATGCAGCAGAGATACTGGTGACACAAAAAAGAACCAACAAATTTGAAATAACACTGGGTAACACAAACAAAAAATCCTTGGTAAGGCTTGGCAATCCAGTTGTGCAGCTAATGCAGTGTACTGCCGAACTCAGCATCTTCCCAAACAATGTGTCTGCTTTTATGGAGCCTAAAACTTTAGGAATCATTTGCATAACTCACATTGTTCAGCTCACTGTTCCAACTATCTCATGGGAAAACTGATAAACTCCTTCTTCATAACCAGACTCTCTGCAGTTCACACTGGCTCTGTTCTGGTATGGCAACCATGTGTTGTCCTTCTGCAGAGATAGCACACTAAACGTCACCTCTTTGATCAACAAAGGCAGGTACTGTTATCAATAGCAATTGACTGCTTCATCTGTATTTTGTTTCCACAACAAATATCAATGATTTTAACTAATGATGTCCTAATAGCATAGCATGGGGAAGATGGATTCATACTTTGCTTAAGTGTATTTGCATGTAAGTGAATGTAATTAACCTTTCATTTGTAGCTGACTCTCAAATTTCTTTTCTCTGAGCTATTACCCATTACACCCCACCACCCACTGACATGGGAGTCTTGTCCAAAAATTCAAATATCTCCACAGAATATTAATTAAGTTATTTGTAAAAACAACAGAATTTTCTGTCACATTCTATCTTCACTTTGTACTAATTCTTTTGAGAAAGGCACCACTCTACTTCTTCCTGTGACTAACCCCATAATTAACCAAATTTTTTGGAAAACACTTTGTCAAAAATAGTAGGTAGATTTGTACAGGTTGTAGTAGAAAATCTTGTTACCTCCATTATCATCCTTGACAAGGACCAATTATTTTTCTTTCATTAGTGGAACTCTCTTCTAGCCTCTTGCTATTCACTCAACTTTGATCTTCAAAAATTTCAATGCAATGTCAATCGTCATCTCCTGTCTCCTTAAATCCTTTACTTTAATTGTCCTCTCTTCTTAATGATTTTCTCAGATTGTTTCACTCAGTATTTCCTTGCATCTCAGCAGATTTATCACCTTACTTGGGGTGAAATGATTTTTAAAAAAATTGCTCCCTCTATAATTAAAAATAACAAGAAATACAGAAGTGACAATGGAGGTATCATTCTACAGAAGGATGCTGAGAATCCCATGGATGGAGCATGTGAACAATGAGGAAGTTTTAATGAAAATGGAAACAAAAAGGATACTGATACTTATATAACCAGAAAGGGACATTTCTGGGATGTATAATGATTGATGGATTTGTTTTTTATGACTTATCAACCTTTTAAAGGTTATTTAAAGCCAGATATTACAATGGAAGAATTGTTTGGAGATAAGGATTTTACTGATACACATAAAACTAATTAACCGATAGTAATGGGTATTTGTGCATAAGTGAATTTAACAAACCTGCCTGGAATTATAACTCAGCACTTCGATTTCCAATTCCAACTTGTTATCCATTACTCTACCAACACATCCAAGCTTACACATAATGAAGAAAAGGGCTTGGAAAATTTGACATTCAGAGAATGTGTCAAAGGCAAAATGGACAGAGGGTGGTAGTAGGCGACCTACCCAACATATTTATGTGAATGGATGTGAGAACAGAGAGTGGGAGGGATTCTATAAAGACAAACTGGTAAGAGTTAAGGTAATATTAGCCATTTCCTTATAAGGAAATATTCAGCATTCATTGAACAA